CATTATCACGTACCTGGGGGAGGACCGATTGGCTGAGGAGGCCTCCCTTGCGGCTCTTGTCTCACACCTCTGGGAGTGGGAACAGGGAGCGAGCCGACAGAGGAGCATGGGTGCCAAGGTGTTCAGACACGGTGCCTGGTAGAAGTCCGGCCACTGGGTCCCTGTAAGGATGAGCAGGGCTGATGGGCAGCTGAGATGTCAGCGAGGATAGCAGTGGAAACTGGAGCGATGTCAAACAGGCCATCGGTCAAGCCAGATGGTCAGCACGGTACAGAAGGAGCAGGCAGAGGCAGAATCCAGATAACAAGCAGAGGTCAGGCGTAGGCAGCGGTCAATCAAGGTCAGCAGCAATCCGAGTCAAGGCAACAGGCAAACAAATAGCAGGAATACAAACCACAAGCTGAAAGACCATTCAGCACTGATCCATTGGGCCAGCTGTTTTAAATAGGACCATCCATTAGAGCGCAACGTGTCACTTCCTGTGCCACACTTTCCACTGTGAGTGCGTGCATTCTAGCACACGTTTTCCGGCAATCTGGAAAGCTGGAACAAGCGCATGCACAGTAGCGCACGAACTTCCGGCTGCGGCTATACAGCCATGCATCAGTTTCCATCCTCCTTACTTTTGTTGGCGCAAGTGTCTTTAAAGTGGAACCGTAAGTTAGCCATACACTGTGCCGATTTGAGACAGTTCTTGGTGAACCCCATGCATAAAAAATTTTATTTAAATATAATCCTCAATAGCCACAAATAATATAAATCCACCAAATGTCTTTGGCAACCCATTTATTAACACTATCACCAACATCACTCTGCTGCACATAGCCTGTGCAGAGAGCAGAGCTGTGAGAGGGGCCCAGCAAACTACAGGAGGGGGGTGGAAAAAAGACCAGTCACCCCACACAAGGAGAGAGAGCAGTAGTGACTTGTCTTTATTACAGTAAGCTCCTGCACAGAGGCATTGCTTCACACTGGATTACTGCACAGATATAAAAGAAATACCCAATGTACACCAAGATTCAAGTAGGAACAGACATGCCTCTTCTATTTAAAAAAATGATTGCCCAGAGTTGAGCTTTTTAAGTTGCAACAATTCAGTTTTAAATATAGAAAATGAACTGCGCCAATAAGCAAGCTAACAGCTACAAGGCACTGGAATGTACACCCACTGTGAGTGTGTATACGTGAAAAATGAATAACTAAATGTGCCGAGCTACAACAATGATCAGATATAAAGAGTATAAAAAACTGTGACTCAAACAAATGTCAGTGAAAATAATCAATCAGGTGTAAAGTCTTTAAATCTTCATAAATCTGCAAAAATGTCCAAATATAGCAATAGTGATGAATATTTCTAGTTCCTTCACCAAATGCACCACACCAGATATAGGGGTGGTCACCTTATTGATAGACCCCCAGCAAGAGGTCAAATGAGGCAATTACCTTCTTAACCAGGGGAGGGGTCCTCGGCTCCAATCGCTCACAGATGTCCTCCAATGGTGTAATCAGACCAGCAAACAGATCTGTGCAACACTTCTTAAATAGGAAAGCAATAGCCTCCAATCTTTATTGATCTATAGGCCTCCTCAGTATAACGTGTCAATGCTAGGATCATGTTGACCAAAAAAAGAAAGCAAACACCATAGCGCGTACCATCCAAACAGAGTATGATTTATTAAAATCATACTCTGATGACTGCGGCCATCAGTCGTAGAGATCAATGTAACGTCAAATGCTGCGCCCTATGCGCATTACGTCCAGCGTCAGGGGTTACGTCCTTCATCAGGGATCAGGAGCATCTGACGTTCTAGATCACATATATATAGTCACATCTATAATCAGGAAACACTCCCGATTCAGTTTTACAGAGCAATTAATATAACTAAAATAGAACTCACGTCTTTACACTTCATGCTGCGTGCCAAACCTGTTGTGACTAGAAGGTGTCTGTAATAGATTAGATTTTTGAATAGAACACTACACAATAAATATAACAAAACGGGATAATATAACTGAAAACTTGCTGTGACGAGAGCCGCAAATGTCAGCCGGCTCAGAAGCCTTTTACACCTCCTATAGAGCAGCAGTTCTCAGTCAGGCTTAGCTGTTGTAAACACGCCTTTAAACTAAAAGTATTCAATATGTGGGTGTAAGTTTTATCATTAAAACACATTTTTTGTTGAGTTTATAGCAACTAGTCTCACAAATTAGGAATGGAATGTTACTCAGTATGGGTTAAGGGGCCCTTTTTACTTTCCCTCTAATTTGTGACACTTCCGGTCAGTAGCTGCTTGGGCATACTCTTCACTTCTTTCACTCTTTAGTCCACCCCATTATTCCCTATCTGCTCCACACTTTCACTATTCTGACTTTGATCGTTGTGATAGCGAGATATATCCCTTGCTGAGACCTCTATGCCTGGCCTGTATAAGCAGATATACTCACTGCGGACAATCCTCGTCAGATAGCTGAACTCGTCAATACCGATTCATTCAAAAAAGGTGTTTATTCTTCTACATCAGGTTACAGCAGATGATAGGAACAGCAGTTGAACGGTTATAGTATTGTGCGGTCAGAAAATGATGCCTTTCCTACGTACTGTGCAGATTACATGTGTGTCCTTGTTACATGTGGCTTTCAACTGTGCCCATGACACAGGAAGTACTGCACACAGGAAGCAGGAAGGGGCTACACTAGGGGGAAATACATCGTCACATGAGGAATAATTACAGAAAGCATGTTTGTTACAACAAAAGGCCACTAGATGGCAGCATAGGATAACACATGGATTTAGCTATGAGAAAATAGTTAGGCAAATCACACTATATAAATTCTAACCTATATAACAATGCTAATATTAACTGAGGCTATGCATCTCATATTCTATGCCCCTGTTGGGGCGGCACACTCCCCGTCTGGCATGATAATGCCACTATCTACATAATACAACGGTAGTTATGCAAATAAATAACAGTGCAATTTGCTTTGATGTCTTGAAAATCTGAAAGACATAAAAGAAGAACATGCATATAATGCAACAACAATAACTCTTAAAGTCCAAAGATAGTCTCTTTGGCAGGCTGCAGGCACTTCAAATAAGTCCATCCCTGGATGTGCGTGGTGCACCTAGGTACCTGAAGAACATGGGGCTCATGTAATTCCAGCTGCAAAACAATGCTAATATTAACTGAGGCTATGCATCTCATATTCTATGCCCCTGTTGGGGCGGCACATTCACTCTGCACCCCTTACTCTGTTCTACTGCCCACTACATATCCCTCTTCCCCACAGTAAAGCATGGGCTCCCCACATACTGCACAGTGACTCCTGGGACAAGGAGCCAGGTCACCAATACTCCTCAAAAAGATTAAAGCTGGCGTCTAACTTTTGAAGTTTTCTCTGGTTGATGTCAATAGAGCTGGCTTCTAAAAAAAATCCTGCTGGCTGCTGGATTGGACAGACTGGCTCCTAAATTCTATATTAATCTGTCTACTCCTGCTGTACACCTCCACATGCCATATACCCCTCCTTGTGCTCAATATACACAACTCTTTGTTTCACACAGCCCACTGTGTACCCCTTTTTTTTAATTCACAGCTCACTGTATACCCCTGTGCTCCCTAGTCATATACAGTACCCTTTTTTCCCCATCCACTAAACACCCCTTTCTCTTCTTCACAACTTGGCATCTGTATGGCGTTTCCTGTTTCTCTTCTCTTCAGCCCATTGTATACCCCTCCCTGTGCTCTGTAGTCCTTTGTGGACATCTCTATCCAGCACATCTCACTGACCACCCCTCTCTTTAAACTACAGCTCACTGTGTACCCTTTCTTGTGCTACATAGTCTTCTGTGCAGCCCTTTCTATGTTTTTCCAGCCCATTGAACACCCCTTTTTCTAATACACAGCCCACTGTGCAACCCTTTCGTGTCATCTGGGAAGTGTTCTTAACATCTCATCGTAATAGGATCAGCTATCTTTGGTTTTGATGATTCTCAAACTTGTCCTGAGACCTCACCAATAGGTGGATTTCCCTTCTGGAACACAGCTTTGTAAATCTAGAAGTTCAATCCCCCCACAATTTAGTTTTTCACAGATGCTGGAAAGTTCACCTAACAGTTGCTAAGATTTTGGAGAATTTGGGAGGAGCAAATCTAGGATCTTGGCAGAGATCTTGCCTCTGTAGTTACAAACCATTACCGGTAGGTGACTCATACCAAACCTCTACTTCTAACTGAGTTATTACTTTTGTGTGGATTGATCTTTAAATAGTTTTCTTTCTCTGCTCTCTCATGAGGTGATACACAACATGTACTGTTGTCCTAGGGTAGATTTGAGAAACAACTTGTCACAATGGAAATGGTACAAATCAGGAAAGGAAAAGTCTGCTTCTACGTTGCTTCTGCTTAGGCTAAGCTGTGCTGTCAATATATTGTAGCGTAAGAGGTTCACGCAGGCTCCCCATTTACATAGGTGTTGGATACTGGGCAGCAAAATCGATGCCTTATTGCAAACATGGGAGCAGTTTGTGGTGTTGGATGTCAGCCGTCAGTTGTTTAAAATGATGTGCTAGCTATTTGCTAGGATGGAAATTCCTCCCCTCATTCTACAGCACTCGAGCAACCCCTAAAGAGCAGCTGTGAAAACTCAGAGTTATATAAAAAAAAGTTGGTAGGTCTTTCCAAATTCAGTGGCAGTATACCCCCTTTCCCAATTGGCTTGACTGTTTGTTTTTCTTTTACTGGCTGGCCTCACAATATAAATAATTCCAGCCGATGGGGAAATGTAGGAAGTAAAGTCGGTTTTTACACCGCGTTCATTACCTGCTATCTAAGGATTGCTAGTAAGCTGTGACATGAGAAATGGGTCCTGTTAGAGGGGATTTCAAGAGGAATTGCATGGATACTTTAATCTGCCTTGTGTTTTTCATAAATCATTTTTCAGTTGCAATATATCCATAGCACAGAATCTCAGAGCTGTCTCCTTCCTTTCATTTTCTAGACACGTGGGATTATTACGGATCAAAAATAAGAAAATGAACATGCAGAAAATCCCTCTGCAGACTGTACGCCAGTTCTTCATCGAAGATGTCGTTTTGGCTGATTACCCAGACATTTTCAACCCCGACAATCCCAAAGCGACACAAGACATTGAAAACTTCTGCATAGAAAAGGTAGTTTAAAGTCATTCCAGATTCTACTGTGTTCCCCATTCTGAAGTCTCTTTGGCTTGTTATGATGTAAACAGTTGCTTTTGCAGTCCTTGCCATTCCTGCGTGTGCAGAATATATTTTATTGTAGGTAGAACATTCAGCAATGCCTGTCGTTTTTCTTTGTTCAGAGTCACAAAGGTTGTTTTATTACAAGGGAAGATGTGGTAAGGCTGCACACATACTGAAGCACGTACAGAGATACTCTGAGAATAATATTAGTTGGGAGATGCTGAATAGAGGCATGCAAGCCCCTGGTTAGTATAACACAAAAACTAACATTTTTCAAGTGCTACTTTAAGCATCGAATAAACTTCTAAATCCAGTCCAGTAAGACTAAAACATTGGTTACAATCGAAGCAGTTTTAGGTACTTACACTAGTTGCATTTTAAAATGCATTAAAATAACTGCACTAGAAGGTGCGTATATGTCTGCAGGTTCACATGAGAATGAATTTTTTATATGCCTTCTTCATGTTCAGCAATGACAGAACAGATTAGAAACTTAGTATGCAGAAAGTGAAAGATGTTTGAAGAAGGTAATGTTTGCAAAGAAAAATGAGTGTAGCTTTTAAGTATTTTGTTTTTGGTAAAAACTGTAATTTTATCCCTGAGCACAAAATGCTAGGTTGTACACCACTACAGCTAACACTACAGCCAGCTCTGTTTAAATAGTATTGATCAAACTGAGGTGTACGTGATATATTGTCCATACTAGACCCGAAATGATAATGGCCTTCAAAAAATAGTTTTCCACTGATCTTAAAAATAAAAAATTATCCCTCCCTCTCTCTCTTCCCCTCTCCCTCCCTCTCTCTCTTCCCCTCTCCCACTCTCTCTCTCTTCCCCTCTCCCTCCATCTCTCTCTCTCTTCCCCTCTCTCTCCCTCGGTCTCTTCCCCTCTTTCTCCCTGCCTCTCTTCCCTTCTCTCTCCCTCCCACTCTCTCTTTCTCTCCCTCACCAGTTCCTATGCTTTTATTCAAACTTAATCGTCCTGTCCCATCGCACTCCTGACCGGACAAAAACCCAAATCCAACTGGGTCGGTGCGGTAGTGACAACGGATGCCTCTGTAAAATGTAGATAGATGAAAGTAGTCACTCTCACTCCATGATATTAAAGTCAATGCTGTTTATTGACTGAGATAACACACATCTCCTTAGCAATGGCTAAGGAGATGTGTGTTATCTCAGTCAATAAACAGCATTGATTTAATATCATGGAGTGCGAGTGACTACTTTCATCTATATGCTTTTATTCAAGTCGCTTCGCCTTGTTTCCACGTCGGAGGTATGGCTTTTTGGCCGCAAGAAAAATGGCAGCAGGTGCTCTGGACCGATGAGTCAAAATTTGAAATATTTGGCTGTAGCAGAAGGTAGTTTGTTCGCTGAAGGGCTGGAGAGGTACATTAAAGGATAATTATGAGGCGAGTGAAAATCACTCAGCCTCATAGTTCTAGCCGACCTGTGACAATGATACTGTCACATGTCGGCTCAATAGATTGGGAAGTGATCTATCCCTGCAGAGAGCCGTGACTGTCACGGCTCCCTGCATGGATTCCCCCCCTCCCCTGTCCGATCCTCCAGCGCTGACTGGCGAAACGGACGGGTGAGGGAGCGGGCACAGCTGGCTCTGCCTCTAGATAGGCAGAGCCAGCTGTCAATCCCGCAGCTGGGTGGATCTCGACAGTTATGTCGGTATCCGTCCCGGCTGCGGCGTCTCAGTATACCGCGAGCTGTAGCCATGCTGAGCTTAGGGTGACGGGAGGACGCTAGTTTGTGTCCTCCCGTTACCCTTAGGACAACTATGCGGAAAAGCCCTGACCCCATAGTTCTCCTTTAATGAAAGTCTACAGGCAACATTGAAGCATGGTGGAGGTTCCTTTCAAGTCTGGGGCTGCATTTCTGCCAGTGGACTTGGAGATTTGGTCAGGATCAATGGTGTCATCAATGCTGAGAAATAAAAGCAGATACTTATCCATCTTCCATACCATCAGGGAGGAGTGTGATTGGCACCAAATGTATTCTGCAGCAGGACAACGATCCCAAACATACAGCCTATGTCATTAAGAACTATCTTCAGCGTAAGGAAGAACAAGGAGTCCTGAAAGTGATGGTTTGGCCCCCACAGAGCCCTGATCGCAACATCATCGAGTCTGTCTGGGATTACATGAAGAAACATAAAGATTTGAGGCAGCCAACATCCACAGAAGATCTGTGGTTAGTCTCCAAGATGTTTGGAACAACCTACCTGCCGAGTTCCTTCAAAAACTGTGTACAAGTGTACCTAGAAGAAGGCAAAGGATGGTCACACCAAATATTGATTTATTTGGATTTCTCTTCTGTGTATTTAACTTCCATTTTGTTAATACATAAAAATAAAATATTAACACTTTTATTTCTGATATTATTCTTACTTTACAGCATTTTTGCACGCCTGCCTAAAACCTTTGCAGAGTACGGTGTATATAATGAAAAACTGTATTTGGGCAAATGTAAGAATCAATTTGAATAGGTGGCTGGATATTGTAACCAGCTTTGTGTAGATGTGACCTGTAGATTGTGATGCCCATACATTTTTAAATGAAAAAAGGTAAAACGATCCAACATTCTGGTTACATAAAATAGTTAATTTTAAGGAAAATTCCTTCCTTCCAGTTATACAACTATATGGAGGCTGCCATTGCTGACCTTCAGAAAATGCTGGTTGCCTGACTGTCATGATAACATCAGACAGAAAACTGTCCTAGAGTTTCTGCATCTCCCTCATAAAGCCTCTGTATTTCCTCCTATTATTGGGGTTGTGTAATTCTATTTATAATCATGGCCCACTCATAATGATCGTTCAAGCATGGTTTTCATGAGATAATCAATAAATATGTTTTATAAGATTCAGTTAGATGAGTGCTTGACATTCTTTTAAAGACTTGTAGAGAGCATCTGTACAAATTGGTCAGCTTCACATTTTTATAAGTGATTTTTATACTTAGTCAGTGTGTATCCAACAGTATTTTGATATTTCCGATGTGCAATATTCTCTATGGGGCATCCTATTGATATCCATCTTTACCCATGGCCATATGGTGTGGTATTAGGGGGATGATGTTTATAATTAGCTTTTTGCAAATATGGTATTTTATTGGATTAGCAGGTAATAAAGATCTGAATCAGGGCACAGCTTCTTTTGCATATGATTATTTTTGGATAAACTCAGTTTTGTGAATATATATTTATCATAGGATATGAATGATACGATTCCTTCAAATCCAGGTCATTTGTTTGATGTGTGTAATTTTGCAATGAACTGATAGACATTGCACCAATTTTTGGAAGAGTTAGTGACCATTATCAACTTAATGTATGTGGTTGGGCATTCAACATCATCAAATACAGTTTAGGACCAGCGGTGGTTGCTGGTCTGCAATGTACAAGTTGATTTCGGCAAGAGAGGGAGTGAAGAGAAACTGATTTGGGGGACTCATTATCATTAATACTGGAAGCGGCAAGAAAGAAAACAGCGAGTATGTGGCAATATTCCTCTCTACTACAGCCCACCTAGACTAAACCAGCATTATATTCTGAATATATGGGGAGAGGGGCATGTTGATAGTACTGTTTTAAATGCTGATCCCTATTATGTATCTCTGTATCACATTATTCATATCAGTTTTTCAGTTTGCCCCATGGATTAGATTTTTATTACACCACTATCAGTAGGTATGTTCTTATCTGTTGGTTTCTTACAGATAGAGTCAATGCTGGATATAGCTGAAAGGGAGCGTCTCGGGAATACTCGCCAGCCAGACAAACCTCTGATTCGACTTCGGGTAAGATAGATAACAATCCATTACTGCATTATGTTCATTTCATAATATGGTAAGCTGCGCAATGACATACAGTAATCAGATCTGCCTTAATTAGTCTGAATTTTCCTTGCATAGGCTTTTGGTCATTTGGCAAGCACCTGAGGGAGCCTGAAGCAGCATTTTCTCCAAGATGAGGAATTATTTCGGCCTTTGAATAATCTTTATTTATCCAAGCTTTATGTTGGCATTTGAATACAGGTTGGCTTTTAAAGGGTTGTGTTAGGCTAGCACACTATGGCCTTGGTTAACCAAAAAAATGGGGTGTGATCGTCTGTCTTACAAAATGCTCATTATGGTGTTTTAGCTTTCATGAACATGTGAGTGGGGGTGATGTACTGCATCAGTATTAGAAAGGTTAGAACATCTGTTTTTATCGCCTTTTAGTAGAATGAGACTGTAACTATGATAAGAGTGAATGTATTTTTCCCAACCAGGGAATCTGCTTGACCATATAAATGTAGGGATGTATTCCCTGTCAGTATTTTTGTAGTAGTGTTTGTTTTACATTTTTGCAGAGCCTCCTATGGCGCATTGTGCCCAGGGACAATTTGTATCACATTACCTACCAGGCTCTGTTGAGGTGGCTCCAGAGTTCTGGGACAGGGTTTGGTACAAAGAGTCCTCTATTGTGGTAGATTCCTGGTAAACTTGTCATCACTGGGTTGGACCAAGTGTTTATAAAACAAGTAGGCACTTCTAGAAGGGTCTTTGAAGCCCTCCTTCCTTGGAAGAGATTCTTCAGTTTTCCACTTTGAGGGAAGGAAGAGTCTAGTGTTAGCTATCCTTTCTCAGGGAGGGGCCTGTTGGGGGAAAGGTCCCTTGTGGTGAGGCAGATTTCCTAGAAAGAAGTCCCAGGGCTAAAGCCTGCTATTGAGCCACTACTGAGAAAGTCTTTTGTGATGAAACGCGTAGGAAGGGCTCAGTGAAACCATCATGCACAACAAAAATTGCATGCTTACTCTCGGATGACGGGAGTGAAGACGGCAGTGGGATTCTTTCAAGCTGGTGCTACTTTGTGAGATTGTGGGCGTATCTGTTGCTATTGGACAAAGCACATATCGATCTTTTTAACATTAGAAGGTCAAGGATATCATGTGAGCCAACCCTAAGAAGGGGGAGCACAGAGGTGACACAATTCACAAATATTTTTGAGATTACACAAAAGTTATAAAGGAGTCCATGCATTTGCACAAAGAATTATCTTTTTTTAATGGAAAGGACAGCGCAATAAAGGAAGCATAAACATTGGTTTAATGTATATTTATTGGCTGTTTATTTGTTGAGGCACAACTCTGTTATCACATGCACTTAATCTGTTGTTTATAGAGGTGCACCGAAATGGAAATTTCAAAATCGAAAATAAAAAAATGTGTAAGGCCGAAACGGAAACCGAAAATGTTTTTTATTTGAATTTTTCACATTTTTAAAAATTATTTTATTTTTATTTTTTATAAACTTTAAAAAAAAAATATTTTACTTTTAGGGGCTTTGGGGAAATATTAGGGGTCTAAACAGACCCCTGATATTTCCCTTTTAAAATAGAAAAAGGGATTGAGGACACAAAGTCCTCAATCTCTTTTTCTGTATCCTCTGTTATCAATGAACAGGAATCCTCTATACTGAGTGTTCCTGTTTATTGATAACATGAGGACAGAGTATGTTTACTACAACAACAATTATGAATGAACAGGAGGTGATGTAGATCACTTCCCATGCATTCATAATTGAGGATATAGTACACATACCATGTCCTCAATTATCTTTGAGGACATGGTATGTGTACTATATTGTTTGCATAGTCTCTCCTTTCTGACACGTTGTCATAGGAGGCTGAGCAAATGGAGCAGGGAGGAAAGCTCAGCCTCCTGTGACAGCGCTGTCTCCATCCACACACCGCTCTGCCGGACTGTGATAGGAGGCTGGGCGGTGTGGGAGGAGAGACGCCGGCCGCTCACAGCGCTCTCCTCACGCAGCGTTCGGCCGGCTGTCCCACTTTCTCTCCTCCCCGCTGTGACATAGAGCAGCGCCCAGCGGGGAGGAAAGAAACCAGGGATGCGCCGATGTACCAGCACAAAAATGGCACTTTCGCCATTTAGCCAAAAGTGCCATTTGCGGCTGATATGTTTCGGTGGCCGATATATCGGTGCATCCCTAGTTTTTTATGTTGCAGATATAAAATGTATTAAGTATGTGTGTGTACATTGGTTAGTCTATATGTTGAAGCTCCGAACACTACTTAGGTTAATCCTCAAAAACAGTCCCACTTGTAATCCCAAGGCTCTTTTAATTGGAGGCACAGGATCTCCCTGTTACCTGGGAATTTAAAAAAAAGTGGTTGTACTATAGAGCAAAATTGCAATATTTTTCGAGTGGGCGCTGTCTTGAATTTTAAGTGAGCTTAGTCAGTGTATATACATTATATGTTTAATCAAGATTTTGTGCATTGTTGAAGAATATACACATAACGTTTGACATGGGGTGGGGTTGTGTTTATAGTTATCATGTATTGTGTTTACACTCCTGTCCTATGCTGTTTTGTAGTGGTGTGTCCTTTATTGGGGTGGCTACTTAGTTGTGTGGGGATACCAAAAATTTATTTTGTTTATAGTTCAAAAATATGTAGTGGAACTCATTAATTTGTAGGCTTTCACATTACCTTTCTTATTTCTCTTGATAGTTCATAGCTATACAGTAAACTCCCAGTTATCCAGCACCCACGGGGATCCGTAGGTGCCGGGTGACTGCTTGGTGGGCGGGATTTTAATAGCCAGCCTTCTATTGGCTATTTCAAACTGTTACAGCCAATAGCAGGCTGGCACTTGAAACCTCACCTACTGAGCAGAGCAGCTGACCTGAGAAAGAAAGTTGTCTCTCAGGTCTGCTCCTCTGCTAGAGGGAGGGCACGATAGCCAGCCTGCTATTAGCTATTCAATTCGGAATAGCCAATAGCAGTCTATTTCTCCCCATTGTTTCAATACTGCTCCCGGCTGGTGCAATTTTTTAGTCTACTGTGCACCAAGCAACCGACAATTTTTTTAGTGTGGATCAAGCCACCGGCAAAAAAACATTGAGGACATATTATGTCTTCGATTTTTTTTTTCCGCCGGTTGCTTGAATGCTGGTGTTCTGTTGAAAGCTCTGACCTGTCGGGATCTCCGACTGGTGACGTCACGCCCCGGTGACTTGCCAGTAAGAGATCTGGACCAGATGGCGCTGGTGCTCATGCCGCTGTCAGAATCCTCAGCGGGGTATCAAACTCCCGTCACTACGCCTGCGTGGCTTCACAATCCCTATCTCCAACCCCTATCAGTGCGCCTGTGAGGTCACCGAACAGCAGAATCAAGTCCTCTAAATACCGCTAGTGTGCCCATGCTCCCATCGGTTGGTAGAACATGCTAAGAGATTACATGTTTTGCCTCCGGCTGAGCGCGCTTTTGGGTGACCGCTCAGGCTCACTGACGGGGGTCGTAGAAGTTGATGGGGATTGCGAAGCCGCACAGACGCATGGACCCGATTAGGATTCTAATGCTGGCACCGCTGGTGCATGCGTACTAGCGCCGTCTGGTCTAAATCGGCTATTAGCGAGTCACCAGTCGGAGATCACGACGGGTCGGCGCTTTCGACAGTACACCGGGTAATGGGGAGTTTACTGTATTTTGTTTTCTGTTAAAACTTCAGTCTGTTTCTGCTTATTATGTGCTGCATTGGCATGCTTCAGATGTTATTTCTATTTGCTAGTTATTGTCTTCTTTGTGGTACATGGCACTGAGTAAAGAGCTGCTTTACATTCTACAGCTTTGTAGCCTTCACTATGGGACATGTAGAATGATTCAACCTTCTCTAACCTTTTTTTTTTTTTTCTCTTCAAGCACGATGCATGTTAGAGTTTAGCTGACCTTCTTTTTAGCCTTGTCTAATGTTTTACATGACACTTGTATGTTGGTTTCATGATTCTTATTATATGTTTTGCTGCATTTGCACACTATAGACTTTATTTTTCATTTCTAGTTATTGTCCTCTTTGTGGTACATGACACTGAATCTTAGCTGCTTTATATTCCACAGCTTTGTAGCCTTCACTGTGGGAAATCTAAATTGATTCCACCTTGCATTATGTCACCTTATGTGAGTGGGAGCATGTTAAAGGGCTCAGATGAATTTTCTATCTTTTTTTTTTTGGCCTTGACTAGTGATTTATGTTGCACGTGTCTCAGGGAAGTGGTGCTTGAAAAGACAGCATGTCAACTCTTGACTTTGCAGGGAATAATTTGTAAATCTTATTATTTGTCATGGTGCATTTAGAGCTGGCCACTTTATGCTCTTAGTAGTTTGTAGTAATGGCTTTTCTTTCTTGTCTATTGAGGGACACAGGAAGTCCTACATCTTCGAGCTATACTGACGCATACAGCTGGATTGTATGTTGGCAAACACAAAAAAAGGCAGTACCACTGTACCAGGTGCTCCCCCATCTCATACTGTACTAACGGCTCTGGTGCTGTTTGCAGGGCCCCCATTGATTTGGCCAACATCTGCATCCTAGAATAGCGTTAGCCTCCGCTTCTCCCATCTTCAGAGCTTTCACTAGCTTTGTCAGGTATGACAAGCTCCTCCGCCCTCCTGGCTAAGGTTTATACTACAGTCATGCAAGACTTAAGGTCTTACATGACTGTAGAAAAATCACCCAATCGGTTGCTTACTCTAACGGCAGAAGTCGCAAGTCTGTATCTGATCTGTCCTGGGTCTCTGAGTCTTCATTCGCTGAAAGTTTGTCTGATTCTGAGTTGCTCGTGTCCTTATCGGACAAGCTTGCCTCTGATTAGTCATAGTCACCTGCCATTACTCCCAAATTAAAAGAGACAGTTTTGGCTATTATTGATGTGGTGCGCACCCCTCTGAAACTAGAGGATCAGCCTGTTGTTGCTACCAGTGCTGCTTCCTTTCTTGGGGGTCTTTAGGGCCCCA